GTCAACCGCTTTCCTTCTGGTTCCGTTTTCATCCACCTTCAGCTCTGTGGTCTCGGACAAGGTCCTTAATGATTATAGAGTCTTCAGTCTTACCACCTGTAAAATGGGTATACCAGTCATTCGTTCGCTCAGATCTTTAGCGGGCATCTATTCTAGGCATAGCGCAGGCTCAGGTTCCTGGGAAACGAGGCAGACGCGGACTGACCTTCTGAGGCTTCATGAATATGAAATAAGGCGTTGGTGAGTTGTCAGTGTAAAAGGCTATGTGGATGTTAGTTATGAGCAAGTCGCTGTGAGTGTTTGCTTTCATTGCTCTTTCTTCATCTTTAGTAACTGTTGACATTTGCGCATTTTAGAATCTGCAGTTCCCATTGAAACATAACCAGAATTAATGCTGTCGAAAGAGCATGCAGAGGACATCCACATAAAAATGAAAGCATGAATCTGGATCACAACACCTCTCCTCCTCCATTACTAATGGATAAAAGAGTAGTAAATACCAACCCCTCTGCCCTCACCCCCGTCCCTAATAATGGAGAAACCAAACGAGAAATTAAGTACAACTTCGTACCATAAACGTTTAAAACTCAATGAAATAGGAGCATGCGGTGGAGAATGGTGTCTCACTTCATTCCACTCCCTCAAGGCCCTACTGGGGAAAGAAACCAAGTAGACAAAATACCAGGAATTCTCGTTAATACTTTTTGATACAAAGAGACATGAATATGAAAAGAATTGAGATGAATGGGCGAGTAGAGTAAGCAAACCACTTGAGGAAATCTAGGCAAGATAAATGATCATGGGTGGAAGTCTATCCCTATTGCCTGCAGGACCTGAACAGAACTAGGAAAACTTGCTAGGGCTTGCCATCTTCTAAGACCCTGCATTGAAGTGAGGCAAAAATTCAGCCAAAGGGCATTTTGTCACAGGAATAGGATACATTTCCAAAAAGGATAATGGGCTGGTGATAAAAGAGTTTACCAAAATCTTGGAAGAGCAAGATTCGGTGGAGCAGTCCTTATCATCAATGTGTACTCAGGTTATAGAAAGTAGACAAAAACGCAATATCCCAGCTCCAGAACTCACTTAGATACAATCAGAAGGGAGTCAAAGAGAATTTGCTCACATTGTATTTGAATAAATAGAACATTTGCAAAGAGCAGCTCATATTAAATATGAGTAAATTAGAAAGAAACACCATATCAATTATCTGAATCTAGAACTTAAATTCAAACCGAAGGGGGGAAAAAAGGATTGTAACACAGGTGAGATAGGTGAAGAAGCTAGTCTGGAAGAAAATATAACCAAAAAATAAATGAAGAAAAATCTTTATATTTGTCTCATGATATAAAATAAGTTAATAAGAACATTAAATTAATAAAATAAGAACTGGGAGAATATATAAAACAACAGAATGAGAAGGGAAAGAAGAGTACACAGCTAAGAAAACCAAATGAAGATTAGAAATAGTCCAATACAGAAAATATGTTAGAAAAACCAAGAAATAGACCAGGACAGTTCAGCTGAATTACTGACGTAGAGGAAAAATTTAAATCAATTACAGTATGTATAGAGGGGAAAGATTGAGACATTTTTAGCAATTTAAAAGGGTTAGTTGATATTCCTAAAAAAAATAAAAAGACTTTTAACACTATTAAGGAAATATTTCTGAAATAAAAGAATTAAATCTGCAGATCAAAAATACCCACTATGTTCCAGGAAAAACTGATAATAGTACACTCAGCATCAAGAGATAGCCTGGATATGTTATCAAACTTCAAATGATGTATGGTGTAGGGGAAATCTGGCTAGCCTCAGATTTCTCCACGGTAGCTTTCAATGTCAGATGAAAAGAAAGCAATATTTTCAGAGTTCTTGGGGAAAACTGTAACTCAATAATATTTCTACTCACTCGAGTTAATAGTCCCAAATATGGAGATATAGTACTCATGTATACATTGGCATGTTATCAAATGCAAATAATAAAAAACCCAATGTCCAATGGCTTAAACAATAAGATGATTGATAATCTCCCTTGACACCAACAGTAGAGGTGAGGCAGTTTCGGTCCTGATTATCTCAGTGGGGTGGTGACATCATCAAGGATCAATATTTGATGGTCTCTCCATCTCTTGGAGGTGTCATACTAAGGATGTTGAATGACTTCCTTCATGGTCATAAAATGACTGTAGCAGCTCTAAGCATTACATTCTCACACTGCAACATCTTAAGATAGAATAAGGACCAGCTGGGAAAGTTGACCACCATTGTTGTCTTAGAGTAATCGGGATTTAGCTGCATTAAGATGTAGATAAAAGAACCCAATCAGAATTCTGCCAGCACAGAAGGTAGTACCAGCTGTTATGTAGGCAACATTCAATATGTCACTCAGAGCTCTTCTAAAAAATTACTTGATGATGAAATATAGACAATCAAAAGATATAAAACATGTTCAAAGGACTAGCACGATACTCAATATGAGAAGACAGTGGAGCAAAGCTTACCCAGTCCTACAAAAGAACAAATACAGTAATACAGTAGGAGAGTGGGGGAACAGATATCATTCCTCTCTGATTATATCCTGAGAGCTTCCACAGTTGCTGCACTTATTGACTGCTGATTCTATGCCAGGGACAGCTTAGGACCTGACACGTATCATTCAGTGACTCTTCTCATTAACTTTACTAGATGAGTAAAATTTTCATTTCCATTTTTTTTTTTTTTTTACTGTTCGAAGTATTTGTTAATTTATTTATCAAGAGAAACTAACTACTATTTAGCCCACATAGCATGTTTCATAGTTCAGGAACACAGCTCAGTGACAAACTTCCATGTAATTCAACCCAAAGAAATTCTTTATATTCCCAAATCACTTTGCTCTCTGAAAGATACCAGCCTTCCTCATCTCCTCAAAATCTTTCATGGAATCATAATTTCTGTAGAAATCTGCATATGCCTTCTTTCTTGGTTCAGTCACAACAAACTTATAGAAAGATGCAACCCCCAGGGATACAATGAATGCTCCAACAATATGAAACTGCAGGCATTTGGCCAGAAGGTCATGCATCTGAGGTTTCGTCAAAGCATCAGAAGTCATGGTAATTATTGTCCTCGACAGGTATGTCAACCTCAACACCCATTCCCATTTTAAACAATGTGGAAACTGAGAGCCAGAGAGGTTAAACAACAATATATCCACAGCTGTACTCAGATCAGTCACAGAGTTGGCCCTTAATCACCTAGTAGTCTGGCTTCAAAGATAACACCCCTTCACTTATTTTAAAAAATTGTTTTTCTGTGAGACTAAATATTACTAAAAATAGTGGGTCTCAAAATCACTTATCCTTTAGGAAAAATCATTGCTACCTAGCTAGGTAAATACAGTAGAAAAGGTAACTTTATTCTCAGTATTTAATAATTCATACAGCATCATAATCAGACTGCCATGTCTCTGGGAAAATTAGTCTTCCCAATCTTTATGCATATTAATTCATCTGGGCAAATACAAGGTGGGGGAGTAACTCAAAATTTATTAATTTTTAAAATATAAACTGTGTATTTATTCTTACATGTTTCAACTTCAGTCACCTTCAAGGTGACTCTCTGTTTGATGTAATACACCTATCAAAATGCTCTTTCCACTGCTCAAAACAGTTTTTGAACTTGTCAATTTTGACGCCTTTTAGTGCTTCTTCTGTTTTTTGTTTCACCTCTTCCATATTAGCAAAACGTTTCCCTTTGAGGACTCTTTTCATACGAGGAAACAAAAATAAGTCACTTTGGGCGGGGTTCATGCTATTTTTGTTTTAAAACTGCTGAACACTCAGTGTGTGGTGGGCAGGTGCACTTGGTAATCACCCATCATGAAATGGGCAAACACATTGAAAGAATCTCCAAAAAAATTCACTGAAGCTGAACGCATCCTCTCACAATTATAGCAGCTGGTACACTGAGGAAGGTGAGTTCCTAGAACACAACTAGTGGGGGAAGCCTGTGCTACAAGGGGCCCACCCTGCACCTCCAAAAAAGGTAATTCCAGTATTTTGGGGTTCTCCCCTTGTATTTATTGATGCTTGTTCTGTGAAATGCACAATACTCAACACTGTGCAATAGTTGGCTCTGATAGGAATGAATTTTGCTGTTAAGGACTGAGGTGAAGAGATCATCATCCCAGAGAACACAGGTTTCATCATCATAAGCACGTTTCCCTGAGGAATATTGGGCCTAAGAGCCCTTAGAGGTTGGTTGTCTGACCTACTTCCTCCAGATGCTTCAAACTCCCTTGAGCATCCCTTGAGCATCCTTTCTCTGCCAACACACTTGTAGTGAGAGAGACACCTGGCCATTCTGGTTTTGGAAAACTCTCGCTGTGACTCTTTGCTTTTGCATTGAAGCCCAAGGGCAAAACAAAACAATACAATTTCTCTTCTACAGGAGCCATCTTTTAAGCATTTAAG